ATCTGTTCAAGGCAATATGCTCTTCAAAGTTTTCCTCTAGGACATGGAGAGCAGCTCAGTAGTAGACAGCTTACTTAGCATGTGCATGGCCCTAGGCTCAAACCCCACCACTCCCCTACAAAAAAGAAAAAGTCCCTCTCCAAATTTTTCCATCCCTTAGCCAACAGTAAGTCCAGTTATCCCCACAACTCTAGGTGTTTATTTTGGCACAGTCCCACTACTACCAAGTGTATGCTAGTTTTCTTTGCTAACAAATTACCATGGACTTAGCACCTTAAGGCAACACCCATTTATTATCTCACATTTTCTCAGGTCAGAGGTCAAAGCGGGCTCAGCTTTACCGGGCTCAGCTTTAGCAGGCTGGGCTCCAGTTTGGAGGCCTTGGTAAAGAATGTACAGTATTCCATGTTCACTTAAGTAGCTGGTGGAAGCCAGTCGCTTGCAGTGTATGACAAGGCCCCATTCTATTGCTTGCTGTCACAGAGGTCATTCCTAGTCTCAGCAGTTACTCTCGGGTTCTTTCAGGGAGCATTCTCCCTTCTCAGAGATGCAGGTTCTCCTTCACGTCAACTCCCCCTCATGTATGAACCTCTCTGATGGCTTCTTTTACTAACCAGAGAAAGCTGTGTTGAAAGAGCTCAAGGAATTAAGTCAGGCCCACACAGATACCCTCCCTACTTTAAGGTCAGCTAATTCATAATCTTAATTAAATCTGCAAAATTCCTTTTGCTATGTAACAACTATTACAGGAGTAACAACAGGAGGAAGTCATGAGGGCATCTTAGAATCTGACTAGCACGTGGGCCATCTATACAATCTTCTTTGTTTTTATAAACAATACTTTACAAATGTAAAAAATATTTCCAGGTAACAGGCCTTACAAAAACAGGTCGCTAGCCAGACTTGGCTCACAAATCACTGTACATCAGAATCATTTGTAGTGCTTGCTAAAATACAGTGAAATGCAGTCAGTAAGTCTGGGACAGGGACTGGACATCTGTAGGTGTAACAAGTCCCACAGAGCGTGGGTACTGGTCCAGGATCACTCTCTGAGAGCCAGCTGTTTTCAGGAAACTTAGCAATGATCTGCTGCTCATCTACCAACTTAGGACATTTACTGCGGGATGAGACACACCACATCTTTGTTAAGTATTAGCTGCTGAATAGCAGCAACTCATCAAGAACCATATGAATTACACAAACTACGGATTTAATCAAGATTTTTATTCTCGAGACTAGAACAATGTGTAGATACCCTCACCAAAATCACAGCTAGCCACTGCCCAGGTTTTGCAGACCAGGCATTGTTTGTTTATATAGGAAGGGTTGTATATGTATGTTTATGAAAGAAGTAATGGGTTTGATTTTAATAAATCCTAATAAATAAATCTAGTAAGATTAGACACTGTAATAAAGTCAAATAAGAAAGAAAACCAGGAGGAGGAGAGTGAGAAAGGCTATTCCAGGCAAGTGTTACTGAGCGTAATGTAGTACCAAAATAAGCAAGTGAAAGAGCATTGGGGTTATGCACTGAGAAAGAGTATGTACCATAAGGATAAAGTTGAGTGAAGAGAAAACTCACATTCTAAGACCAAGGTAGGAAGGACACCATGTAGGAAGGATGACTGACAACATCCAGCTATTGGGCACAGGGTAAGAAGTGACTAAAGGAAGCAAATATTAAACCATCTGGCTATTTCAGGGCTCTTCATTGGAAACACTGGCAGCTGATACAAAGTAAAAGCGCAACTTATTGAAGGAATGAGGTGAAATAGAGTACCAGGTTAACATCTAAGTGTCTCAAGAATGAAGTCTGAAATCATTCTGCAGAACTGGCCTGGCAAGGGAGCTTTGCTGTGTTTCCACAGGGCTTTTCTGCATAGAGGACTTTTTTTTTACTGCAACTGTTACTGCCTCAGCACCAAAATTATGTCTGCACTGGCAAAGCAATTTTAGAAATATTAAGCCTCTGATCTCCAGGAGCTGCTCCCACCCACCTCACAGAAATGTAACGTGAGGGCAGTGTCTGCTCCTCTGTTGGGTCTGAACTAAGGTTTGCTAGAAATGACAAGAGTGGTACAGTCCAGCCACAAAACCCAAGCTCCACCAACCAGTGACACAGGAAAAATGAATCCTACACCTTCCCTTAGTGGGTGGGCAGCATTAACTAGGACTTTCCAATCAGAAAGTAAACATACAAAAGAACACGAAGACAACATGTCTACCACAAAATGTGATGAGTTAAGCATACAAAGTGCATTTAAAATTCACCCATTCCTGAAAGGAGAAATTTTGTATGTATGTATATACAGGATAGTTAACATAGTTGTTCTACTGTCTTCTATTTCATTGCTGAAAGAAACTGTCAATGAGTCATTGATTGATCAGTATTGCATGTCTCCATCTGTTTTCATGAGAAACCACTTTGAAGATATCAATATGTAATACAACAAGCATTGTTAATTTCCTACCACTTTGTTTGTAACTCTGTATTGTCTGTATTGTTCTTTTGCTATTTTGTAAAAGGTTGTCTGTCTGTTAATATTTTCCTCCTTTTATTAAAAAAAAAAAATCATCCATTCCTATGCCAACCTAACCCATTAGAACTAGGACCAGAGAATACCTGAGGTGAATAGAACCCTAGAGATAATTTTGGTCTAATCCTATTTTACTGGGAACTTGATACCCAAAATGATGAGGTCACTTATCAAATTTACACAACTAGACACCAGAAACATCTCAGCCTTTTCAACTCTTGGCATATTTTTAAGCATACAGTGATCAAGGAGGCATTCCTCAAACAACATCACCATCTTAATATTAAATGTTAATTTTACCCTCAGAGAAACTCATTGTTTAGTTTTCAGAAGATCATTTTGGCAATACTGGTCTTTGTTTCTCTCAGTATAGTGATTTAAATTTTATGTGCAGAATCCTACTTTTCTATTATTACCATGAAAATAAACTGTAAACTTTAAACATGTTTTAAATTTTTGACTGAATTAAAACTCTCTCTTAGTGATTATTCAAAAGCTACTAGAATAAATGTTTAATTGTGAATGTACCTCTTCTTTATGAATGCACCTCTTCTATGAATGTTATATCCCACAGATCAGAGGCAAACTCACCCAAGTAGACTGTAACTACAAGATATATCCACACAGCTAATAAGAAAATGAAGTAGAGAGCATGAGTACAGTATATATAGTAATCCACACATTCTACTGACATATTTTATGACCAGACAACTCATAGAATTATGACATTTAACCTCTGTGATGCACAGAGTCATAAAACAAGCAAGGGGGTTTTGAGAAGGCAGAGAGAAGAAAAAGCAAGAGAAAAGAACACACATAACGACTGAATTTGAAGTGTTTCATCATGAAGTAAATGTTTTCTAAGAGCAGAAGTTAGTTTTATTCAGATTTAAACATTATGTCTCAGAAGCTATTTATTCAGCACTTGTTCCTTATGGTAAACACGCCCTATTGTACTGGACAACCAAAACAACAGTTACAGAATCGGTGACTACGAGCTATCTCATGTTATATAGGTGCATACAGAAAACTACTTACTTAAACCAGAAAACTTCTTAGTTAAACCAAAACCATAATACTTTCTGTCTTCATTTTCTTTGGGCAATGATTACAGTTTATGTGGAATAGGAACAGGTAATTTAAGATAAATAAAGCAACACAAAATACATACCTCTTGGTGATACAGCCCTGCTTTTCTAATTTAAAATCAGTTATTTCTATAGAAGGTATATTTTCCGCAGAAAAAGTAGTGATAACTCAGACCAAAGAATAAAACAATTTAAAAATCATATTAATAATTGAGAATTATCAATTTCAGGAAAATCTGAACTTTTCCACTTGCAATTCTCTCTCTTATAAACAGCTAATATCATTTAAAAAGGCATTCCGCCAAAATAGTAATTCTGAAAATTTAAAACAACAAGTTATCAACTGTACCAATAAAGATTAAATCTTACCCTGAAAACCCATCTGGAAATACTATATTTGCCAGCACCTCTGTGTTTTCAGAGATGCTGAGGCCTTGTGGTTAAAACGGTACAGTTTAGACGGCCCCACAAGACGTGCTGCCTGGTGTGAACGCAATGAGACCTGAACTCTGGTCTTGCGCTCACACATTTAAAGCTTACAAACAGCCTCAAATACACTTTTGTTTTAAAATTTAAATATAGTCTAAAGCTTGTATATTATAAAATGCCTTTTAATATAACAGGAATAAATATAAATCATAATTTACACTTGCAAAACGTAACAGATTTTCTCATAATCTAAATAACTATGTGGCATAATGTATCTCTCTGGTTTAAATAAACAGTGCAGATATTTCTCTCCAGTGATCTGCAATACCTTATGGGAACCTAGTTAAAAATATGGAAAGGGGGGAGGAGAGATTGATTTGTTAGTAATTATGATCTGAGGGAAAAATAGAATTAACTAGAATCCTGAGCTTGTGCTCTCTTGGATTTTGTGTTTTAAAATCTTTATTTTAAAAAGGTGGGAAGAATAATGAGGTCAGATTGTTTTGAACTTTAAAAATAATTTCACAGCAGTTTTGGAAAGATAACCGGCCAGGACTTAGGCAGCAGCACGAGGTCTGTAAGAGCAAACATTTTCTGCAATACGGCACATTAAGACAGGAGGCTAGACAGCGCTACATGTGTTACCTAGTTTGAACCTGGCAAGAGAACAGTCAGTTCCATAAGGAGTTCAGCTGATCCCATAACCAACTATTTAATCAACAAGGAATATATACATGCGGACCTGGGGGTAGAACTCTATGAAGGATGAAACATCTACGAAAAATCATTTAAGTGTAGCTTTTATAGAAAACAAAAAATTGTACCTACCTATCCAAGGCTTAGAAATTTTTGACTGAGAAAGTTGTTGGGTTAATTATAATTTTTAAAATGTCTATCATATGCCATGAACATAAACTATATCCAGGTCATTTGATGAGATACTCACAGAATGATTGTAAGAAGGTTCCAATATCACAGGTAATGACATTTTTCCTTGAAGATTCAATTTTGTTAAGTAAAAAATCTTTTCCCCCACAATTTTTTCCTTTTTCATGCGATGTACTCCATACAGTCTAAAGCGAACTGCATAATTCCCAATCATCTCAGATTCGACGTGATTAAATTTGAATGTTTCTGTGAAGACGGGGCATGGTCCTCTTTGGATGCTGGTTTTCGCTCTCTGTTTCTTTATAGGTAGAAGAACAAGGTGTACTTGCCATGAGTTGCCACCTGCCCTGTTATATGCTGGGATGTCTGTGACAGCTGTCACTGTTACCAAAAGCTTCTGTTCTTGTGAGTCATAGTCAAAAGTCACATCCAGAGTGCCGTATTTAGCTTCTGGCTCAGGATCAAAAGGTTTAGGAAGCTGTGAAGATGATCCTTGAGCTGACATATCCTAAAAAAAGCAAATTTAAATGTTGTCAGTTTTAAACTCTATTACTTAATCCAGCATGTAAATAGATGCCTTATAGTTTTTTGAAAAGGTAATATGAAAACAAGCTTTACATGCTACCACAAAGAAAGTATTATAAATAGCAGTCAACTACAATAAAAAATAAAAAAACTATCCTATAGAACCAGTGGTGATTTAACCTATGATAAAGATACATTCTAGATGTAATATGCACTATCACAATTTTGAGAAAGTTGTTTTTACTTATAAATGAGAACTTAAAATATATACTTTAATGTGTAACTCTATTCCTTTAGCAAAAGACTACTAAATTTTACTTTCTTAACATGATAATCAATGAAACTGGCAGCTCAGTACTAGGTCACAGAGGAAGAAAACATAAATAATAATTATAATACTATTGAAATATTTGGTTCCACCTTCAAGACTTGTTCTAAAATGGCCCCATTTAGATATGTTGTCTAAATATGTTAATATTCTAGAATATTAATGTTAATATTAACATATTTAGACAAGTATAATGAAAATGTGGTATGTATAAAAAGCCCTCAAAGTATTTACTGGAGTCATATATTTATTCTCCATGTCACAAACCAGTTTTACTCAATTTTTATCCACAATTAAAAATAATATATCATTTTCCAAAATTAATTACTGTTGAAATGAAAGAATACATATTTCAAAAGTGGAAGACTAAAATGTACATACTAATTATGACAGTAAAATTCCTGCCAATCCATCTGGGCTACAGTAGGGGTGTCACCTACTATTGACAATGACAAAGCTAGGTTTCTGACTTTTCAACCACACCACTATGCCCCTTGAAGTATTTTAATGATCCTTAAATTACTTTTATTTTAAAATGTGGACCAATTTTGTGATTTCCTTGTTATGGCTTGCATCTAGATGTCCCCCCACAGCCTCATGAGGTCATAGTGGGGCTTTTCAGAGGTGCTGGATCTAGGGGGTGTGATGCTGGGATCACGGATGCAATGCTGAGATTAAGGCTCTCCCACCCTGGGTATGACTGCTACCTGCCTTAAGGGAGGGGAACCTGGATAGAATGTGAAGGACAGAAAGAGGGCTGCTGCTTGTCACCTGCTGCTCTTTTCACCACTTTGTTACTTTCTGCCCGTCATGAACAGTTTCTCCTCTGTGATGCCCCTCTGCCACGCCACCTTGTCTTGGAGCCAGCAAATATGGACTAAAACCTCTACAAACTGTAGGCTAAAGTAAACCTTCCTCCTTTACATTTTCGGATCAGGTAATTTATCTTAGCAATGAGAAAACCAACTCAGACATTCCTGTGCTTGAATACAGTGCCCACGATCGTGGTGAATACTACTGACCCTCAGTTTTCCATTTTCCGTTTATTCAGAGAACTCCCTGAGTTCTGACTAGAGACACATGTCTACAGAGACTGTATCAAATCTTAGGGTCTCTCCTGTAGCTGGTATGTCTATGGCTTCAGCTTTGGCCTTAACTATTGTACCTATTAGGCGCCAGTGTCTATTTTAGGTCTGTGTGTGTAGGGGGACTCTTCTTCCTACAGAGGAAAACCAAAAAGACATGAATTGTCAAAGTTATAACTCTTACATGGAAATTGGCATCAGGTACGGATAAAGAGGTGAGTAACGAAGAAGAGTATTTGGGGAGAAGAAACACATTTTCATAGAAGAATTGAGTTTTTTGTAATGTGCAGGAGTAAATCAGGGTAAATATTTTTACTCTTAAAAATAGGCTAGAGCAATTATCTTCATGCATCCTGTTTCACTATTGTAATTAAAGATTATTAATGATATATCTTTGACACTTCAATTAAATATATTTAAAAATAGTGTCATGATGCCTAGGATATTTCAGGCAATAAAGGTTTTCATAAGGTCCTGGAGAGCTATTTATGAATTTGATTTCTCAGATTCATCTTAGGTGCCTCCCTAATATTCTTTTTCCTTTCTTCTCTTTTTTTGAGAATTCCAATAATTCTTATGAGCTCCAGGGTTAAAGGGTGAAAGTTTACTGATAAAAGCTGCTATCTGCATTATTCCAGTAGAGAGTAAGAAAACTGGTCTATTTGGTTCAAAGTTTGAAAAATACTTCAGTTAACAAGGGGCCATCAAAAGAACTCACGGGTTCCCTGCTGACCACTCTTCTCAGCCCGCTGTCCTCTTTCAGCTCAACTGTGTGCACAGGTTGGCTCTAAGACAGCCACAGCCTTGGCTAAGCAGAAGAAAGTGGGAATTTTCCATTTGATACATAGTATCTACTAGAGAGAGGCAAAATAATCTTGATAAAAACAGTAAATGTGTACTAGCATAGACTATTAGCACTGCACACCTAAATATTTGTGTAATGTGTATTTGCTGTGTTGTTTGAATATATTCAATGATGCTACAGAGGACACAAAAACAAGGAGAGTGAAGAAAATTCAAAAAAGTGTGAACATCAAGTTAGCAGCTTCTGAAATATAGGCAAACTACAGAAAACCACAGAGAAGAAGAAGGAAGCAGAATGTAAGACAGGCAGAATTCACAAGATACATTAAATATAGGGCCTAACTTAATAACCGGTAACATATAGAAAGAGTAAAAACTGTGATAGAAAAAAACAAATGTTCCTGTAAAGAAGGCTAGAAAACCTAGGCCAGGAACATGTTGCTCTGTGCTGACAGCTTTTTTTTTATTCAAGAAATGCTGATGAAAACAGACTTGTGTTCAGTAGGCTAACTGGCAAGTTTCAGCGGTGGCCAGATGTACTTCCTCCTAAGTGTCTTCCATAAATCAAGTAAGGCTGTTGGCTCTTTGGTAGCCTTGTGCTTGTTCCAATTCTGGTCCTTGTTACCACATGACAAATGAGAATGCCGACAAGAGACAGGGTGGATGGGCTGCATAAACCATGACGAATATTGCGGTCTTCTACCTACACCTACTGATATCCTAGCCTGGGTCTGTTAATCTACCTCATCTTGCTCCTCTTACTTCTTGCTTTGGATCTGAAATGGATTAAAATAAAAAAACATGTGCAATGATGCGTATCACCTCTGCAACTAAATGTGGTCTGTGAGTCTTCTGGTGGCACATGTGCTGGGCACCACTGCATCGAAGATCTCCCACACGACTTGTCAGAGAGACCTGGGTCTGAATTACAGTCCCACTATTTAAGAGTTGATGGTGCCTGGAAAACTGCTTAAGTCCCTGAGTCTTAATGTTTGCATTTATAAGACAGAAATAACAACTTCCTGAAGCTGTGGCTGGTAGAGTTGCATGAGCTGACTATATAAAGCCCACAGCAAGATTCCCAGCATGACTGGTGAAATCTATTACTGTTAATTCTACAATCCAGGCTTCACTGTTAACTGTTGGCTATCTACAAGGTGTGCAAAAAACCCTAGAGTACCTGCCTTAAACTTGCTTAAATGCAGAACATAAACATTCCTGGAAAATCATGAAACACTGATATATTAAAGCATCAATTTGAAGTTTTCTTCTGGGTTAGGAACTATACTACTAGACATACTGGAAAAGTAGTAAAGTATTTTTTAAGTATATAAGAGAAACCTCAAAAGTAAAGAAATTCTATCCATAGCTTAATTGCTATGTGCCTTGAGAAACTAGCTTCATTATTTAGTTCAACAGATCAGAAGCTTAACCATCGAAGAACACAGACACTAAAGTATTAATGAATATTTCAGGAATAAAAGTTGCAAAAACTTTCAATTCAAAACTTTTAAGGAAAGTGAATCCTAAAAATAAATACTATACTATGAAGTCCTTTAGATCACCTTTATGGTTCTCACCATTACAGAAAGACTAAAACAAATTCCCTTTAGAAAGTGGCAATACTTTGAAACTACAATTATTTTCGTTATCACTGTTACATTTTTGCCTCAAAAAGTAATTTAAACTCAACCAACCAACCAACCACTATGAACGCATGAATGCCACGAATTCAGGTTTCATCAGTAAAGCTAATCATCACTGATCCTTTTCATACTCTACAAAATGAAAATACAGTAAGATTATTTTGAAAGACTTACAAAACATTGTAACACTCTGGTAGTAGTATCCATCAAAAAACAAATAGATACAGAAAATGTAGTATTTATATGCAATGGAATACTACTCTGCTATAAAAAAGAATGAATTTGAACCATTGGTAGGAAAATGGATGCACCTTGAAAACAATATTAAGTGAAATAGATCAGACACACAAGCTTAAATACCACATGATTTCTCTTATATGATAAATCCAAAGTATGAATAAAGAACACAAAAGATAAAAGGAAATAGGCAGACAGAGCTCTGCAAATGAGAGCAGGAGGAAGAGGTAAGAGGAGGGCATAGGGGAGTAGAGGAGGGGACATAAAAAAGGATGTGAGATGTGTCATGTGTACACTAAATGCCCACAATTAAAGTAGTCAGTATGTGTGGCAAACATGTACTGATAAATAAATTAAAACTTAAAAATGTAAAATAAGAAAAAAAACAGTAACTTCCAGATGAAGGAAAAAGGCAAATAATTCTAGAATGTTTTATATAAAGTGTTTAAAAACAATAACCATCTACCCTCAGCTACAGATCTTCCTTCACCTGGAGCAGGGTGCTGAAGACCTGGTGGGGCAGTGCTGACAGGGGCACAGTAGAAAGACTGGGTGAGGATGGAAGCTGACAAAATAAGCTGAAAGGGGATAAGAAAGTGCTAAAGCCCATTCTTCTGGGCTGGGGATATAGCTCAGTGGCACAGTGCCTGCCTGGCAAGCGTGAGGTCCTGAGTTCGATTCCCAGTACCAAAAAAACAAAAACAAAAAAGTTTCTTCTAGCAAGAGGAGGGTACAGGACTATGGTATCATCTTCCAAACAACATTTACTCAGGCTTCTACTTACTTCTGGGCTCAAGACCGCAGTGCTGTCACTCGGAACATCTTCTTCATATCCTTTATTATGGAAACTTTCTACTTCGCGACCTGTGCTTCCTTCACTTGGGCATTTGTTATACGAGCATCTTGGACTGTTGCTGCAGTGGGAAAACTCACACTTACTGTCCCCAATCTCTGAGGGGGTACATGAGAGATGGGGAGAACCACTGTCATCCTGATACGGTGGCGGCTGCAGCTCGTCCAGTGGGGGTGTTCTTCTCATTCTCTGAATGCAGTTTCCTGACAATGATTAAGAAGTGGGTCACTGTTTCCATCAGCCTCAACAAGCAGTACAGTCTACAATAACTGTGAATTACTTAAAAACTGGATTAAAAAGTTGTGGCAACATGTTAGGTTTACTGAATAAGTTTTCTTCTCAGGTACAGAAATAAAACAATCAGACGCCTGCTCTTTCCCTTCTGCACAGTAAGATTAGGAAGAAGTTGTATAGTAAGAGAGATCCTGCCATACACCATAAAACTGAGTTTTAAATAGCTCACTTGGTTCTCTCTCCTGACAAGCCTGGCAGCATATCTACTTCTTCTAGTACTCCTTTGCCTTTCTAGCCAAAGCAATAAAAAACATGGTAGGTAAAGCAAACAAGAAAACCTCACCAATTTTCTTCTGTTACTGAGATGAACATAAATCAGCATTTAGCTTAGTAGAACTGTTCTCCGATTTGTACCCTAGCTCCAGAACCCCAAATGAGGATCCCCAGGGGGCAGGCCCAGTCCCTTTCAGTGACTTCCAGCAGCCAGCCAAGATGCAAAGCTGTGCCTCTGCTCCCCAGGATATGGACCCCATTCCACCCTGTCCCCAACCTTGTTCTGTAGCCTGGATCCACCTTCTCCATAGCAGGCAGCATCTCCCCAGATAGGAGGAACGGGGAACCACATTTACTTCATTCTTTTCAGTTTTCCCTCAATGATTTTTGTCAGTGATTGAAATAAATGCATCTGTGAACAAGCACGGAGGTAGCAGTGGGAGGGGGATATGGAAATAGACCTCAGGATATCATGTACAAGCACCCAAGTCTGTGTATATAAATCTTGAACATGACATCAAATATTAAGCACTGCTCATTTTGGATTATGGATCTCCTTTCTCACAAGGAGCCCTGAGAAAGGGAGTTTATATCATAACTGCCATGGAGTTCAGTTTAAAACACTCAAAACAGTCTCTCTTCTTCCTTACAGTGGATAAATTTCACATAAAAACTGTAAAGCTCATTGAAAAATCACTACAGTATCTGGTTCAAATAAAAAATGTTGATTGGTGTTAACCTGGCATAAATTTATATATCTGATCAGAAGCTCTAATTTTGAACCAAAAAAACCAAGGATCTTATCTCCTAAGTCTAGTATACTAACTTTATACTAACTTTAAAATAGATTACTGAATTAATATACCTAAAGCTAAGTTACAGAAAATATATTACACACACTGCAAGCAGCATCCAAGAAAAATACAATTCCAGCTTAGTAGAGACAAGTGGTTTTAAGTGACTACGTGGCTCAACCCTCTTGTGAGTGGAAAGCTGGCCTAGTGGGCAGCTGTCCTCACCGACACAAGGTGGCCAATGAGATTCAAGCAGAGGAGTTCAGAGTGGGCTTCCAAGAAGGCAGACTCACTCTGCACCCCATTTTGTCCCTTCCCATCTCCCCTCCTGCTTGAGGGTGCAGAAGTCATCTTGTGACCATGAAGTAACAAACATACGAAAAAACTTAACCACGGAGCAGAAACATGAAAGAGACCCAAGTACCTGAACCTGAAAACTTCAATGGTTGAGACAAATAAATCCCAGTTTGTTCAGTAACAAAACAAAACAACCTGACAGGTGGATTCCTAATGTTTTCAATCAATTCTCCACCAATATAGTCTATAAATCATTAAGCCAACATTCTCTACTTCTTTAACAATGCATAGTTAGTTAGCCATCGAATTAAACAGTAATACCTAAATACTTACTGTAGCAGTAAGTCAACTAAAAATTTCCCAACACAGTGGCATGGGAGCTAGCACACCATCTTTTCCTTTACCTTTTCCCTGAAAAGAGAGTGGATCTTCCCCAGCAGGCTCAGTACATAGCCTTGCAGATCTCACTGGACAGAAGTGAGTCCTGTGTCTTTCTAAACTCATCATTGGCAGGAGAAATGGAGTCTTCATAATTGGCTTAGTTTGATCAGAAGCCATAAAAAATTTGAAGGTAGTGATGGCTTAGCTTTACTGACTATATTGATCTATCTGGAAAATAATACATGCCAAGCAACGTAGGTTCAGGGAAGAGGAGACAAAGAGGATGCTAGCTGGAGAGCAGGAGCAATCCAAGCCTGGAAGCCTCTGTCCTCCGATTTTGCAATTTGATCTCAGCTTTTGTATTGATTTTATTTTTTCTCTCTGTGGCTCTTCTTTCCCCAGAATAAATGTCCTACTGAAATAATTCTTCTCTCAACTTCCTTTAGCTATGACCAGGACCATATAATTTCTGCCTTATTTCCTGATTTGCTTTTTAATATTAGCTTACCACCAGCTCTTGCTTAGATGTAGTTTAACTTTGCTTCAGAGACCCAAGGCACAAATTACACAAACTATACTCATGATATCTAAAGATGTCTAAGTAGGCTTACTGGGTAGATCTGACTACTGTTTTCTAGATTGGAGAAAAACAATATGAAAGTTGTAAATTGGAACATTTATTTTAGCCACAGCATATGCTCAAAATTTTGAAAATAATACCTCATTTTTATTTTTACTTTCATATTTTACTTGTCAAAGTAAAGATCATACAAATGTGGAATTAAAATTTCACTAAAATATATAGTCATGAAAATTTCCCCCCTTTTAATTTTTTATTCTGACAATTACATCATGTTGTCTACACAATGTAATAACTAAGAACTGGCTTAAATTTAATTGATAATAGAAAATTTTAAGGCATTTGTTTTATAAAGTAACAGAATTTATATTATGGTTAAATTGCACAGTAAACATCTACTGTAAAAAGACATTTCTAGTGAGACTATCAAATGCCAAAATGATGATGCATTCCCATTTATTTAGTTCTTAGTTTACTACCTAAATGTATACTCTTACTTTTATGGAAATGTTAGATACATGAGAGGATTCAGGGCCAGGGATCTAGCTCACCGGTACAAGTGCCTGCCTGGCAAGTGCAAGGTCCTGAGTTCAATTTCTGGTACAAAAAAAAAAGGGATTCAATACAGATACATCTTAAACATTTTAGTTTACCATCTGCATATTACACAGCACCTTTAGAACAAGATACAACATTTTCTTTCTTACCCTAACAAAACAGCATGTGTGTGTACATGGAATGTGACCAACAGCTCTTCATCTTACGTTTTAAGACAGTGATGACAAGGACAGAGCTAAGAAATGGTGAATATTCTACAACTACAGAATTTATTTTTATAATACCTGTGAGAATTTGCCAAAACTAATTATAAGCTGGGGAATAAATTAAGGCTCAATACAGTCTAAAAAATTTAAAGCAAAAAGGATGTTATATGATCACTGTAGAATTAAACTAGAAACAAAAATATAGAGACTCTAGAAAACTAAATAACCAGAAATTAAGATATACTCTAAGTAACCATGCACCAAAGAAGAAATAACTGTCATCAAAAGTATATTGAAGAGAATGACTAAAATAATCCATACAATTACTAGAGCTGCACACAGAAAGAAATCTCCAGGTCTAAGTGCATACATGGCAGTGGTAGAGAGGCAGAGTGTTGAAAATAATTACAATCTAAGCATCCACTTCAAGAAATTTTTAAAAACTCAGCAAATTAAACCCAAAATAGGAGGAATGAAATAATAAAGACAGAAAAATAAATTTAAGAATGCATTTGAAAAGCATTAGCAAACCAAAATACAATTCATTGAAAACACTAATAAAATTGATAAACTGCTGAAACGCACTAGTCAGGAAGAAAGAGAAATGGCATAAATTATTAATGCCAGGAATAAAAAAGAACAGATCATTTCAAAACTTGCAGACATTCAAACGCCAGTGTTCTCCCTGTCCTTCCCTGTGTGCTCAAGCTACTGAGTAGGGCACAGGGAGGCGGGGGTCCGCCCTGGGGGTGGCGGGGCAAGCCACAGTGGCCTTAAGAGGATGTCAGAGCCCAGGGGATGAGGAAGATGGGTATATGTGGGAAACGCAGTATGCTGCTATTTGCAGTTTCACTTGGGGAGCCAGGTAGTAGACAGTGTCAGGACCCAAGGGGGACAATAGCTTTCATTTGCGGGAATGGCCAGGCGTGGGTGCCAGTGCTCATCAGGGCAAGAGCACAATGGGGTGGTCCCCACTCAGTGAGCTGGAGCCCAGGGAGCCAGAGAGGCCTAGTGAGGGAAGCCGGCACCTCGGCAGGATACAGAGGGACAGGCTGGCCAGAAGCAACAAAGCCTAGACTAGAGTAAGTGAGGAGGGTACAACCTGGCAAGTATAGCCATAGCCTAAAACAGGGTGAGCCCACTAGGGTGTGAGGATGAGGTCCACACAGAGGGTATTTGGTGAAGGATCTTGGAGCTTCTCAGGAAACCAGCCCTATGCAGGACAGGGAGCGTGTCTGGTGTGGGGAGCCCTGAGTCCAGTGTTGGAGCCCAAGTTGGGTGAAGAGGCAACTATGCAAGAAAAAACAAGAGTCCTGGACCACAGTACAGTTCTGAATTTAAGCAGGAAGTAAGTCAGCGTGAGACAAAAGGTTAAGGTGTGGCAAACTGGCTGGGCAAGGGGGTGAGACCTATCAGTCACTGAGATCCAGGAAACTTACGTATGAGCTCTGCACCTGGAACCGATCAGAAAGTACTATCTTCAAATCTTTTGGCAAGAACTCAGGCATAAGATGGCCTAGCTCTGACATCAGCCTGAGGAGTTGGTTATAAATGATGCTGCTGGTAAGTTACTGTGCTCTTTCCATGATCTGCCCACGCTGCAGAGTGAGCCTCTTTCCCTACTTTTAACTGGTCTGCACCTGCTCTCCTTGTCCAACCTTTAATACATGTAAAACCTCACCACCTTTTGCGCTTGTCTTGTCCAGTTCTCTTGTCAGTCCAAGAACCTGGAAAGAATCTCTAGAAGGAATCCTCAGAACCCAGTAACAAGAGCATATTTAAGGCAATGACGGCACCCAATGGTCTGAAAGGTGACAGCCCACGTTCCCACGGGGATGTCCCCAAGTGGGAAAGGCTACAGGAATTATCAGAATCCCAAA